CTGCGCCCGCCGAAGCGTCTCTTCTGCTTTTCCCAAGACGGATTACGGCATCGCCGTCTCGGGCAGCCGGCAGGTTCCTCCCGTAACTTCCGTTTGTTCCCGTAATCCCGGGCGCCCCAGAACCCGCCAGTGCCTCTGCTCTGCACCGGGGGCCCCGTCCCGCCGGCGGACTGACCCCGGGAAAAATCGACGCCCTAAGCCTGCGGGAGACCGGCTCCCTCCGAAAGGCGGGCACCGGGTAAGAGCCCACCCCACCCGAGCGAGCACCCCAGGTCTCCGAGTGGCCGCGTCGCCCCGCACGCTCCTCTCGGTGGCCACAACCGCCCCGGACGGAGATGCTCGCGACGTCCCCGGAGTCCCTCTGGCGCCCAGGCGGCCCCCGCGCTCGGTTCTCCGGGGCTTTCCGCGCTGACCCAGCTCCCTACCGAACTGCCGAGAGGTGGAGAGGACGATGACGGAAACAGCGGCTCTGCGCGGGCCGGAGCAGCCGGGTGGCCAACGTGGACAAGAGGGAAGCAGCAGCCATGGCCCGCGGGGGTGCCTGTGCCCGAAGAGAAGCGCGCGCTCAGGCAGTGCGGTTTTACCGCTGGCGCGTGTCAGGCCCCGCCTCTCGCCGGCACCCATTGGTCCCTACCCAATAAAGCCTCGCTTGTGATTGGAGCAAGTGGAGCCCGGAGCCGTGGCTCGGAAGCCTCGGGATGATGCCGTGATTGGCTGAGGAAGGCAAACCCCGCCAGACGCAGCTGGTCTCCGAAGCTCAGCCAATCCGAACGTTTGTTCATTAGTTGCTTGAACAAGTAAGTACCTGAGGGCCTACTGTGTGCCAGTCAATGTAGAGAGCGGCTAAAAGGATAGTCAGGTAAAGTGCCAACTAATACATGTAAAAGAATGAAGGCGTTAGAAATAGCTATTTTGGCAAACCATTGATTCAGAATCGTCCATGGATGTCAAAGCAATTGCGTGAAGTTGGATTTGGAACAAGATATTTACGTATAGGGTTCCCAGATCCTGCAAATAAAAGACCTCATTTTAACTTTATAACCTTTTTTTAAGACTCTGTTTCCAAATACAGTCACATTCTAGGGTACTTGGGGTTACAGCTTCAAGATATGAATTGGATCCATAGCAATGTATATACGTAAGAGAAGTTGATAAAGCATGTGGCAAATGTAACATATTAACAACTGGGTAGTTAGGTGAAGAATATACAAGTATTCTTTGAACATTTCCTGCCGTTTTTCTGTGTGTCTGAAATTATTTCAAAAATTAAAAAAAAAAAAAGGTCAGTAAGATTTCTGCCCTCATGGTGCTTGGGGATAAGGCAGACGTACAGTGAACAAGAAAAGAAACTAAGAAAAAGAAAAACCTCAAGACAGCATATATGAAAGGCCGTATAGGGTCAGAGCATGTCCTATAGAGGGAAAGAAAGCAGGCATGCCCATATTTTAAGATACCTAACCCTCTCATCACTTCGCAAAATTTTGGAAATTCTCTTACAGTATTTTGGGAGCCAAGTGGAGTATCTCTGCCCTTAGGTGGAGTTTATTTAGCTTTATTGGCTTTTTATCTTTCTTTTCTACATAGAAAAATGGTGCCATCCTGTAGTGACAGTTCTTTATATTTGATAATGCATTAGCTTTCAAAGTTATTTTGCACAGATAGATGGTGTTTGATCCCCAGACAGCCTGGTCAAGTGGGAGGGGCCAGTGTGGTAAACTGGCTCAGCATGTTCTGTAGAAGGAATGGCCAAGGATCCTCCAGACCCCAAACGGAGTGACTCCTGCTCCAGTGTCCTTCCACCAGTTCCATGGCAGCCCTGTCCTGATGTCCCTTGTTCCAAGTCCGGTAAGCAATAGTATTTTCTATGGTAATTCACAGAGTTAATATAAAATGTGTAATCTGGCTCCACTTTTGGGATTCAGCGTCTCAGCTGCAAAATTGGGACAATAAGTCGAGATTTCAAAATGCCTGTATCAAGTGAATAGCTAATGGACAGGTAAATAAAATCCATAAATTAGAAAAGCCCTAAATCTTAGTTTTCCTATGAACATATTTACATTAATAGTTGGTGGCACATGTCTCCTGTTTCATAAGGAGATAGTCTATGTTTACCAAAAGGAGTAGATCTCAGGTCGAGGAGCACTGCAGGGAGAGCTTCTGGCCAACAGAAATCAAAAGCTTCTGAAAATGTACCTGGTTGAGTTTGTACCATTTGTATGTTCTACCAATCCAGAAAACTAGGGTGATAGGCACAATGAAAATACTTACTGTGGACTAGGTCAAATATTACAAATGGATTATTTGCCCAGTGAAATGAGGCCCTCTGTCACTGTAACTCAGAGGGAATGCCCCAATTGGGAATTAATTTTTCCCAATAATAATTTACTTAGCATCAAGGGTGTTGCTCTTCTGCAAAGGAGTGGCTCAACCCAATGAGAAAAAATACAAATAATAACTAACACATTTGTATACTTGAGATGGTGGCATTTGGATAAAATCCAATTACCATACCTCAAGTAGATCAAAAGGAAGTAAGAAATGTCCTTGGGACCCGTGGAATTATTTTCCAGGGTTGTATTTGGACAGATAGAACATCTGCTATACACTCAATAAACTACAGTAGAAGGTTTCCAGTAATATTGTTTACTCCATGAAATCATCTTTTCAGGCCCCCAAAGTGTTAGCTCATGTACATGTTGACATATAGGGAGTTGGGCCTCTATAGGTAAGATTGGTTTCTGATTGTGTCCAAGCCATATCTGTTTGCCCAAGTCAAAGTTTCCCCCATATCCTCTTTTCTTATGCAGCTGTCCATTGGAACTGTAAAAAAGAGCCTTTTATTAATTGAATAGGAAGCCAGGAGCATTCTCAGGTTTAGATAATTTGGCTGTTTAGTGCTGCTTGTCTAGCTGCATGCAGCATCAGCTAAATGATTTCCTGTTGCTTTCATAGTGGCAGCTTTAGAATGTTCTGGAATTTTTATAATTGCCCATTATTTCCATTTCTCTATGGCATCCAATAATTCTGTAACCTATTTTCTGTTCCTTATGGACTGCCATGAGAAAGTTAAGAAGTCTTGCTGCTTCCACAGCATTCTAGAGCTGTGAGCTACATCAAGGGCATAGCTACTATCAGTGTACATATTGGCTATTTGATCCTTGGCCAATTGACAAGCCTGATTCAGAACAATTAATTCAGCTTGCTGGGCAGATTGTATTTCAGATAGATAAAAATTTTCAATTCTGTCCACCACAGAAATTGCATATCCAGCTCTGTTCATCTTTTTAAAGATCCATCTGTAAGCCAAATTAACTCACCACTATCTATAAGAGTTCCTATAAACCATTCCCAGGAACAGAAGGTGGTAAGTACGCAAAACACAATTGTGGCTGTCTTTATCCTGCAAAGAAGGTGCCAACATCCCTGGGCTAAGACTGTTACATTGAGTTAAAGTAATGTTAGGACAGAAGGCAAGAGTCAGTTGACTGACAGAAGTGTTGAGTGTGATGAGAATTCAGTGGAGATTCAGCAGAATGAGGAACATAAAAGGGAGTTCATAACTATCTTTTCTGTTTGTGTACACAGTATAGCCATAGCAGAGATGGCTGTTATGAAGTAGCCCTAGTATCTGCAAGGGCCTTAGTAGCTTCCCCTTTTTATGGTAATTTTAATTTCTCCTAAACTATTAATAAGAAGAGGGGGAAATGCCCTTTCATAGTCTTCAGAGCAACCCTATGCTTGCTTCTGTTTTTGTTTTTTGTTTTTGTTTTTAATATATCTTTATTGATTTCAGAGAGAGGAAAGGAGAGGGAGAGAGAGAGACAGAAATATCAATGATGAGAGAGGCATTGATTGCTTCTGTGTTTTTTTTTCTCTTTCTAAATCCCATTTCAGTTTTCTAGAACCTTTCTTAAAGTGACCTGGATTTTTACAATAAAAACAGACTCCCCTACAGTAGTTTCCCAGCGAACCCTATTTGGTAATTCTGTTGCTTTACTCCCAGAAACCAGTAGGTGTATTAATTGGGATAGGTCAGAATAACCAGTATCACATGTTCTAACAGTTAAATTAAATTCCTTTCGAACCTATCAGAGTCATGGAGAAAATTGGGGAAAATCTTTAGGTAGACTCCTTAATTCTGTTCTAGTCCAAGGAACGTATGCAATTGCTTGGCCTCCTCCATTTGAGACTGGCTTTTCCTTGAAGGNTTCCTTAATTCTGTTCTAGTCCAAGGAATGTATGCAATTGCTTGGCCTCCTCCATTTGAGACTGGCTTTTCCTTGAAGGGAGGAATTCTGCTAGAATTCCTGGATTATCCCCCATGTCAGTGGAGTGGTAGTGAAGGAGACATAGAGGAGATAGAAGGGGAAGGAAAAGGGAGGGGCGAGCAAGCCCAGGCAAGGAAGCTCAGAGTAACCAGACAGTGGAGGAGCTGTAGAAGGGGGAGGAATAGGGTGTTGCCATTTATTAACCTCAGAAGCCTTCTTTAGTTCAGAGACAGTCTTCAAAGCAACCCTAAAAATTTACCTGAGCCTCTCCTAGAAGCTTCTAATTTCCAATCAAGATTTGCTTCCCATTCATTCAGTTTAACTTTAGAGCCTGCATTTTCTAATTTTGCATGCAAAAACTTAATTCAGGTGCCAAAAGAATTCTCCATTTTGGCCATTTTAAGTTGATATCATTTTTAGTTACATCTTCCCATTTGTGTAAGTACTTGCAAGTAAAGGCTTCCTATTTATTGTATACCTTCAGGAGTATTAATGGGGGTTGAGGGATGGGAGTTTCCAACCTTGGAGGCGTGATCTCCCATGTTCATTTTAGTTTTATTTTGAGATCTAAAGAGTCTGAACAAATTTCTAGGAACATCATGTAGTGGGTTGAAGTGTGCTGCTTATGGGTTGAGCTCCAAGAGTCTGTCACCTCCTGAGTCACAGTTGACCCTCTTACATGTCTCAGTTTTCTCCCTGGCTGTCTAATACAGCCATGAGGATTCGGAGCACTCGTAACCAACCTTTATCTACATGTCCCCAGAAGAGTCATTTAATTACAGGTGAGTTGGAATTCCCTATAGGGGCTCCTGCACGAGGTGAGGAATGCCCTCTGACACCTCCAGAAATAATCGTAGTCACCTAGGAATACCTGAGATTCAAGCGGAGGGAGAAAGTGCCCCTTACCTTAGCAGCCAAATGAGTTCAGGCTCTGATTTATGTGGTAAAAGGTTTTGCTCAGACTCTCAGAAAGCAATTCCAATTGAGAAGCCTAAGTTAAAAAAACCAGCCACCCATATTTCCCCCTCCTGATCTTCGTTTTCTCCACTCTTATCTTTAGCCTGAGTTCTCTCAACCCTTAACATTTAGCTCCACCTCAAGGATTTAAAAACAAACAACCCTGGCTGGTGTGGCCCAGTGGTTAGAATGTTGGCCTGTGCACTGGAGGGTCCTGAGTTTGATTCCCAGTCAAGGGCACATACTTGGGTTGCAGGTTCAGTCCCCGGCCCTGGTCAGGGTGCGTGCGGGAGGCAACCAATCAATGTGTCTCTCTCACATCAATGTTTTTCTCCCT